GGGACCCTGCCTGTCTTTCCTGGCTGTGCCACCTGGAACCCTTTCAGAAGCGAGCAGGGGAAGCTGGCCTCTGGGGGAGCCCCAGTATATGGGGTCCTGGATTCACTTCCTACCCCTCTCCAATTTAATCCTTCTAGTTTCCCACATATAAAATAAAATTTCACTGTGTCAGGAGGAGATCACAGAATCACATGATTCTGTCTTTACCACGCCCCTGAGCAATGCCTGTGCTAGGGAAACCTCTCGCCCCACATCCCTGCCCGCCGGCCAAGGCAGCCATCCCACGAACACACTGTGCATCCTGGTGCTCTCCGCCACTGGAGGGGCAGAGTCGCGGGGTGTAGCCCCGCCCTTCATCCCCGAGGGCTACTCCCAGGAGCTTCACGCTTTGTCACTGCCCGCAGAGGTCTGTGCTGAGGCCTTATCATTCTCAACTCTTTTTGTTCTTTCTGAGCTGAAATGCTGCATTTAATTTTTAACCAAATCATGTCTCCTATCCTGGCTTTTATATTCTTGCTCCACGCCCTTCCTAAACAAGATTTTTAAAGATATATATGTTTATTCATATGTAATTTTGAAAAGATCCTGTTTATCCTTTTGAAATTCAGCCCTAAGAATTGGTGCTTGCCCCCAGGAGTGTTTAATGGACAGGCAGTCCTGTCTGAAGGACACTTCTTACCCAAGGGAGAGTGGGACTTGCAGACTGGAATTCTGGCGCTGTTGGGGAGGAATCAATGGGAAGTAGTTCTCAGTAATTCCCATCTCCCTCAACCAACTACCACCAAGACCCTTGCATCCTCTCCCCCTCCCAAGTACTATTGTGCAAGTGAGTAAAGGGTAAAATATTTAATTATCCCCGTAAGTTTCCGATTAGCAAGTGAGAGAGAACAGTTTTTCCTCTTTTGCACTTATCACTGCTGTCTAAGCATCCCCAGCACTTGAAAGCGTATTTCTCCCCAAAGCCAGAACTGGGTGAGTAGAGGAACCCTTGCCTGAAGGCCCTTCCTTCCACCTCTCGTGTGGTAGATCCCAACACGGAACGTGTGAGACTTGTCTTAAGTCGGTACTGTACACTCAGGCTTCCTCTATTTCCTTTTAACTGGTGAAGATGAATTTCAAGGCCCTCAGCGTATTTGGATAGTTGCTTACCTGATGTAAATGCAATATTAATGCCTTTAAAGTATGACTCTATGCCAAAGATCACCTTTCGTTTTACTAAAGATTACGTAGAGGAAATAAGAAAAATCATGTTGGCTCTTCAAGTTCTTCCAGTGTTTCGAGACACTGGTTTACACTTTTTGCCAATGTGCTTTTCTCTAATACCAGTGCTCAAGACACAGTGAAGCAAATTAAAAAAAAAATAAAAAATCCCTGAACGATGATTAGAGACATCACCACTAAAAAACTACATTTATAAGCTAGGATTTGTTATATGCAAATATTTTCTGCCTCTTCTTTTGTTCTGTTTAAAACAATAAAGTGCATTTGTATAAATAATGCTTTAAATGTTGGGCATGTTATTTTAGCAAGAACTTTCAGATCAGGTTTCTCCTTTGTTTTGAAAAACAGCCAGTGAAACTAATCCTCAAGCCCAATGTTGTGTTGTAAGTAGTAGAAACCAGCAATGTATTTACTTAACAAAGATCGGTGTCATGAAGGACACGTTTGAGGACTATGTACTTGAAGGAGCAAAAGTGACAAAGGTAAACAGGTGAAGTGGACCATCCTCTGGCTGAAGTCTGCCATCATGTTAGATGATTCTAGCTGTTCATGGAGGTTATCACTGTCCCCTAAGAAGCCGAAGCTGTTAACGTCTGCAGGTCTATTTGTCACACTCCAAAGCCCAGTACAGAACAAGAGGGCTTTCAGGGACCCACCAAGGCTGAGGCATATTCCTCCTGCTGGAGGAAGCGCTGACTAAAAGAGTAGGAGCAGGTTCTTGGAGTAGAGCTGGGACATCATGGTTTTTGCCTGATTTTCTAGGTCAGAAAGGGGTAAATATCATTAAAAGGCTATAGTTAGTGTCATTTTAACTTAGAAAAATCACTGAGCAAACAGGACGATTCCAGCCTGCTTGAGTTAAAGAGAGATGTCCATTAGCTCAGCAAATCTGAAAGCAGTCTTCACGGTCTCATTTCCGCAGCTCACCTGTGTTCACCGGTGCTGCCTTCTGCTGTATTATAGTTTAGTCATTTTCTCAAATCAACAAACACCTTGCAAAGCCTCTTCTCTAGCACCACTTAAGGAATGAACCTATCGCATGAAATGATGGCAATTCCCTCACACAGAAAATGAGCATCTACTTCATTTGCTCTTGAGATACGTTCCTTTAAGAATTTAGAAAACAGGGCCATTCTGGGATTAGCTAGAATTCTGTGCTTGAAAAATAGTCCAGTACTACTGTGTATTACTGAATCTTTGCTATTAGTACGTGGTGGTAGGGAGAGGAAGCTTTGATCAGCCTGTGGCCAAAAGGGTGATGCTTAGAGAATGTGTACATGACGGTAACATACCGAGGTTAAGAGGAGCACTTGGGAGTGCTCTGTAGCAACCTTCACACCCTGTATGATTCAGAACACAACCTGATCAGGTTGTGCTTGCTCTGACACGGAGGCATGCCCATTTGCAAGTGCTCAATCGTCAAGCTAAAAAATCAACTTGTTGCTTTCATCTTTTTATTGACAGTATAGCCAGAGCTAGAGAAAGGATTTACTGGGTTCAATCAAATTAATAAATACAATAATTTACTTGTAAAAGGAAATAGTCTACTTGGAAGTTTTATCAGAAGTTGCTAGAGACAAGGGACTCTTGGCATACAATCTGCTTGTATATAAGAGAAGGCAGCACAGAAAGTAAATTGGACAGTCCGGGTACAGATGGCTGATCAGGGATTCGGCAGAAAGAAAAGCAAATACACTGATTGTTCTTTTGAGGTATGAACTCTGTAAAACATTAAAAATAAAAAGCAGTTGAACTGAGTAACCAACCTTAAGCAAAGGGAATAAATATTTGGCAACATCTTGATTTTAGCTGCCACGCTGATATTGGTTACCCTAGAAATTTATTTATTTTTAAATCCTCACTGGAGGATATTTTTTCCATTGATTCTTAGAGAGAGTGGAAGGGAGAGAGGGGGGAGGGAGGGA